TTGATCCCAGCACAACCCTCTGCTGTATGTGCTATTAAGATGCACATTTACATACAAGGCCATATAATTTAGTGTGGGTCTCCTACTATCCTGTCACACATTTGTGTACTCTCTACTCGTATTTCTCTTTGTAAAACAATCCCTTACACACACACAAAAAAAGGTAACATGTTTTAGTATAGAAATGAACACCCTAGAAAAATTCAGTTATGTACTTATATTAATGGAATCAAAATCATTTAAAATACAATCACATGAAAAGATGTTCAACATCATTAACTATCAGGGAAATGCAAATCAAAACTACAATGAGATATCACCTCATGCCTGTCAGAATGGCTATAATTAACAAGACAGGAAACAACAAGTATTGGAGAGGGTGTGGAGAGAAGGGAACTTTCATACACTGCTGGTGGGAATGCAAACTGGTGCAGCTACTATGGAAACAGTATGGAGAGTCCTCAAAAAATTAAGGATAGAACTACCATACTATCCGGCTATTCTACTGCTGGGTATTTGTCCAAAGAACATGAAAACACCAATGCATAAAGATACATACACCCCTGTGTTCATTGCAGCGTTATTCACAATAGCCAAGACTTGGAAGCAACCTAAGTGCCCATCAAGGGACGAATGGATAAAGAAGATGTGATATACATACACAATGGAATACTACTCAGTCATAAGAAACAATGAAATCCAGCCATTTGTGACAACATGGATGGACATTGAGGGTATTATGCTAAGCGAAATAAGTCAGAGGGAGAAGGTCAAATACCATATGATCTCACTCATAAGTAGAAGATAAAAACAACAAACAAACACACAGAGATAGAGATTGGATTGGTGGTTACCAGAGGGGAAGAGGGGAGGAAGGAGGGTGAAAGGGCTGATTGGGCACATGTGTATGGTGATGGATTGTATTTAGTATTTGGGTGGTGAACATGATGTAATCTATGCAGAAACAGACGTATAGTGATGTACACCAGAAATTTTTACAATGTTATAAACCAATGTGACGGCAATAAAAATAAATAAATAAATAAAATAAAATCACTATCTTCAGGGGAAAATATTTTTCTTTATTATTTTCCTAATAGTCACAAAGAGATAAGGAAATTAGCCAATAAATATTCCAAAATATATAGCAAACGTATCTTTTAGATGCCCTTAGCTATCACCAAAATCAAGTATAGTTTACTTTCTTTTGTTTATTACTAGTAATAGTTCTTTGATATTTCTCTATGGTCCCACACTATTGGCGAATTTCTACATTATTTTAGGCTCTCATTATTGTCTAATGGTGTTGCAATTTAACACTTGCATGGTATGGGCATGAAATTATACGAAATAATAGTGGAAAACCGAAAGGACATAGCTCTTATTCTGTATAAGGAAATAAGCGATTTCACTTTGTTTTATCTAAACACTTGATAACGTAGGATAAAAGATTTTGTTTTGTCAGTCAATTCCAACTCCTAATGACCGTGTGTACAGCAGAGCAGAGCCTGGCCTGGTCTTTTTGCGACATCCTCTCACCTTCTGGTCGACAGATGGGTAGTGTGGTTCTTTAACAGGGAAAGGAACCTGGGCCGAGGCGATGAGAGCACCGAGTCTTAACCACTAGACCATCAGGGCTGGCTAGGATAAAACATTGATTTGATCACCTAAAGATAGTAATAAGAAAAGAATTCACAGTAGGAAAGGTACAAAGCATTATGTTTACAGATTGTTGGTCCTAAGCTGTATAGTGCTTCTAGTAATTGCATAACTCTGGAGCATTTCTTAGTTTTTCAGCACAGTTGATAAAGAGAATATAGATAGACACTCAAATAAAATTACGGTTTTATTTTAATTTGAAGCTGCGTTTATTTGAGCTTCTACAAAACATCAAATTTCTCTGCAACTTAATTTCCCTATTTGTATAAGGGGAAGATGACAGAATTTGAAGACTTCTCAAGACCCTACTACCTCTAGAAATCCATATTCGTATTAAAAAGTGCTGGAATAGTCACTTTTTGGGAAAGGAGAGAGAACAAAAGTGCATTCATGAACCGTCTCCATAAAGGTTATACAGGCATTGAAGAAAGATCACTAACAATGAAAGCAGTAGCTAATAAACATAAGGGGTTTTGAATCACACAAACAATCTAAGATTTGAAAGGTAATTATAGGCCAAGATGGCGACAGAGATTCTGGGACATGAATTTGGTCTTGAAGTTTGGTAAGATTCTAATAGAGGTACATCTTTGAGATTGTGTTCTCCTGTTGCTCTCCTCCACACTGTAACAAAATAAAGGTACACGATTATTATTAGCAAGAACAATTAGACCAAAACTCATCAGAATGGATATAGTTTTAATTCTATCCTGGTTAATTGAGATAACTTAAGCCTTTTTTGTATTTTCGCTTGATTGATAAGCTAATTTGTGTCTTTTAACAACAAAAATTCAGAGCAGTGTTACATAGAGAATGAATACTTTTGAAATATTGCATGTATAAAATTGTTATGATTATTAAGTTCAATAGTTAATTTCTTTTTGGAAAGTTTCACTGTATCTGTTATGAAATTTTAAGTAATTTTTGAGACTGATATAGTTACAAGTGGCTATATGTATGGTATCTTTGTGTGTTTTATTTTCACATTATATTTTTCTGGTTAAGTTTATTAGGATTTTCAGAAGAGGTCAGAAACATTGTAAGAGATCATATGAAAAATATGAAACTGTGAAATAAGGGTAGAAACCAAGGGTAGAGATTGTAAAATTAAGAGCAAAAATCAGACTTTATATGGAACTTAAATGTTTGAAATAATAGGTAATTTTCAGTTTTGAATGAATGAATGAGATATTATTAGTGGAGGAACTTAAGAGTTTCACATTACCTTGATGAATTCAGGGTGGTTTAAAATAACAATCCAATTTTGTCAGCATAATGAGAGTGTGTCTTTTAGTGGGAGACTCAAGTTAACTAAACTCTCAGAGACCGATGTATAAATCAAAGTGTAAAAAGGCTGTTTTGGATAACTTGTGAGGCACTGCTTAAGTATTTTCTCATGATTCTCCCTTAACCACATTTTTGAGCATGACAAATCTCTCGCCCTTTTGACTGACATATTCCTTCTTTGCACATGTTAATACCATTAATTAGAATAGTATAAAATATCACTGGTTTGGGAGCTCTTTTATCTCTAGAAATTGGCATTGCAGATTTATGATTTAAACCGTTGATTTCTAGTATAACTTCCATAAGGGAAACTTTAATTCTTAGAAGGAGCCTCCCAAATGTTGGTCGCTAGGTACAAGCTACAAAAACCAATTCATGTTTTAAATGTGGTAACAGGAATGGCATAAGACTACCTTAGCATACCTTTTTCATAAAAACTGTTATTGTTCTCAAAACTCATGAAAAGGATCATATTTTACATAATCAAGAAAAATATCTCGGTCATTACTCCTATTATCAAATATTCTAAAGTGTTAAGAATTGTGCGTAATGGAGGCTTAGCTTCCCTGTGGAATTGTGGAATGGAGAGTCATCTAGAGAAATTCTACCTTTATATATTTTTTATAGTTTTAAAAATCTTGGTTTGTCTGACTCTACCAGCCATATCTAAGGTTATTTCCATAGTTAAAGTAGAAAAAAAAACTAGATATGTTATATGGGCAAGCTTGCAGGTATAAAAAATTTTGTTGTTTACTGAATCTGATAATTCTTAGGATTTCAATTTGAAACTTAAAAAAGGCAGATTCTACAATTCCCTCAAAAAATATATCCAGTAAATGAGGAAAAGTTTAATTAGATGGTAGGGACAATAATATATTCAAGAGAATGTAAGAACATATAGTCAAAAGAATGTAACAATATAAATAAGATATAAATGATAGTTCATTAAAAGGAATCTCTATTTCTTCAGAGAAGAGAGAAATGTATGGAATTATTTGTGCTTACAACTTTTTTACTGTTCCTGAATCTTTTCCATACTTTGTTACCCTTTTGGACATATAAGATGACTTTACAAAATTTTATCAATTTATTAGGGAAAATATAGTTTAACAAGTTGTTTGCAATGACTCATATAATTTTGTCATAAGGAAAAAGTACATATATAGGAAGTAGGAGAAATCACATTCTTAGAAATTATTTTAGCCCATCGAGTCCTTTTGTGAACAAACCGTTGCTTTTTTTCCCATGAGAGAGATCATGGCGTAACTTCGCTTCATATTTATCCCAAGACTGCACTAGACCTTAGGCCAAGTAGCCAGTCTTGGAAAAAGAGAAAGTAGGCATAAAAAAGGCCATTCTTACTTATTGTTGCAATAATACAGTCATGGGGTTATGAGGGCTGTGTTTTAGCTGCCAATTAGAAAGGAAAGAACATATTTCAGAGGAGTGAGAAAAGAAACAATGCTTCTGAGCGTCTGATTACAAAAGATAGTAATAAGCATCCATCCCAGCAGGCAATTTCTTTCTCTTTGCTAGACAAGATGTCAAAGTCTGTCAAAGAACAAGGTTAGCTGGAGTAATAGACTCGGGTATAATGGCTAATGTTCTTTTACACCAATTTCTTGAAAATGAGTTATGGATTTGACAATTAGACATCTTTTTGTGACATTTAAAATCATTCAAATATCAAACTGCAGTTTTTGTAGCTCAGAGTTAACTGATTTTAAAAATTTAGTATTTACTTATTGAACTTCTACCATGTGCTGGATACAGTTAACATATAAATTAAAAGAGGCAATCCATGCCCTCAATAAACTTATAGTTCATCTAGGAGAAAGGCACGCACATGATGCAATATATCATGCAAAAGTATTACACCAAAGGTGAGAAGGCAGCAAAGCGTAGGGAGTGCAGAAGCCATCCTGAGAGGGTAGAGGCCGGCTTCACAGACTTTGTGTGAGCCTTCTCTGAAAAAAGAAATACAAACCTACCTTCCAAATAAGAGTGTTTGTTTGTTCCAGGAAGGGTAACATCAGGTTCACAGAACACATAAGAGGCTCACGTGTAAGAACATGGTGTATTTTCTTGGAGAAAAGTTTAAAATGAGGAGCGATGTGAAAAAAGACAATACATGTCATTGGACTCTGCTCATCATAGATGTGTGAGTGATAGAAAAGACTACTGTCACTGTTCTTAAGTAACTTAGTTTATGAGAGAAGAAAACTTGACATGAAAAAGCAATAGCATGAGAGGCATCTTCTTCTTAATTCAGAAAAACGATAGGTATTTTCCCATTTTAAACCTCAGTCCTCACGACTTGCCTTACAAAATGAGCCTTTTGTTTCAACGTGGGAAAAGCTTTGTAGAATTCAGATAAAGTGTCTGAACTCGACCTCTTCATTTTATCTATTACTAGGCATTGCACAATTTTCAAGAACAGAACCTTAGGAATAAATGTGATCAAGTTCGCATGCTCTGCTTTGGTAGCCAGGTTCGCAGGTTTGGATCCCAGGCACAGACCTACACATTGCTTATCAAGCCATGCTGTGGCAGGCGCCCCACATATAAAATAAAGGAAGATGGGCATGAATGTTAGCACAGGGCCAATCTTCCTCGGCAAAAAAAAAAAAAAAAAGGATGATTGGCAACAGATATTAGCTCAGGGCTAATCTTACTCACCAAAAAAAAAAAAAAATGGAAGGAGTAAATGTTGGCATACCTTTGGACAATATCAAGCAACTTGTATATTACATTTGAAAGGAATGGCTGTAGCTGAGGTAAAATCTTTTTACTTAAGAAATCATCATTTTTCTTACCAAAAAACCTTACCTAAATGTCACTATTGTTCTTTAGGTTTGGAAAAGAGACCTTCAGAACCTTTTTCAAATATAGGAGAGAAGAAATCTTTTGAAAAACATGTAGGATAGGCATTATAGCGAATAAATGTTCAAAATGATCTCTGGTGAATCTAAAGTGGTATTTGGTTTTGCGTCATCTGTAGTAATTTTGAAAAATCAAAGAGAAAATTGGAGGTTTTGTTGCTGTTGCTTAAGCATCTTTAAGCATCCTGGTTAATTAACCCATTGTTTCTTGTATATACCTTACTTTCTGAAAGTAACTTGGGTATTTTTATAAGGTGCATTAGTGATCATTTAAATGTATTCGAGCCATAATCACATAGAGTCGATGATAAGCTTGCGGCCTGAGAGAGCTTATGTCAACTTTGTGTGTGCTCCAGGGCATTTCTGATCACTGTACGATATCATTAGTGTCATGGAAAGTTAGAATATGCCGCATATATCCTAAAGACTCACAATAGTAGCTTCCTGGGCACCAATTATGTTATGTCTTTAGGACACTCAGAAAAGAATTTTAATTAAAGAAATGCTAATGAAGATTGAGAGAAAATAGCTAATAATTTAAGCAAATGTCCTTTCTTATTTTATATTATTGAGAGACTAGATTTGTTGCCTCCAGTTTCCTGGGTTAAATTTTTCTGTAGGCCATGAAGATGCTACAATAGTGATATTTCTATGATGCTGCTTCTCATAAAGCACTACACACAGGCTATAGAAAATCTGAGAGATTGCAGACTTTGACTATGTCTAATTCTTCTGCGTGTTTATAGATATCTGTTGTATCTCTAAAGCCTCACACACAGCCCCACAGAATACATAACACTAATAAGGTGACTATGATGCTCCAGACATGATGTCCTTTGTCTGTTACCCTCTTTACCCGTGTCTTCATCTTCTTCCTCCTGGTACCTCTAGCTTTGGCATCCTGTTACATCTGTTCCTGTGGTGTCTGTCTTGTTTCCCCCGAGTTCATGGCTTGGTCCCCCCATTATATCACAATGGTTCAAAGGTTCTATTTATTAACTTCACTTTGCTCTTAGAATCTTCTACTAGGCAGAGGCACTGTCCTGGGTCTTTCTTATTTATCTCTCCATCCTTATAGATCAGGAGATCTTTTTACAAATGCTTTCTGCCTACCAATTTATTGTCTGAAACCTTATCCTCTTACACTTTAGTCTTTCCACTTTGAACATACATGTATTTATATAGACTTTCTGAAGAAATGAAGACCATTCAAATGAACTCCATGCCATGAGTAGTTATTTCCCAAGCCGAGAAGTTCTGGGCACTGCATAATATCCCAATGTTTTAGAATTTAGTATGATACCAGTAAAATAAAAGAATTGTTAGAGTAGAGTAGGCTTAATTCCTCAATATCTTAGAAAAATATGTTTTAATTGATAAAAAATGACAATCAAGGATACAAACACATGTAGAATACTTGGAAGTCTTATAGAATATAAGATAGGCAATAGAAAAAGCACTACATGTTTGCTGTGTGTTTGAATCCATGTAATAAACAATCATTGTCATGAACTGCATATAAGTAAATCAGAGTTTCCTGTAACTGTCAAATGCTCTTCCAATATTCACAGTTTTTAACCTTTGCATGTCCCTCTCTTTCTTTCTCTCACGATGTTACATCTTTTGCACATTTGAGCCATGACCAATGATGACCAATAACAATCTCTGTCAGTCATTCTTTAGGTTTCTAGCTTTTGTAATAAAAATGCCAGGATTCCCCACTGAATTTCTTTTAAAGTTCACATTTTTCTTTTACCTAAAGGGCAGTGTAGAGCAAGAGAAATAGTGCAAGATTCCAAGATAAAAAATAACGCTGAAGGAATTTCAACAGATGAGACTCTCATAACCATCTTAGCCACCATCTTTTATGTATATAAAGGATATAGAAAGTTTACAGAAACTGATTTAAATATTTATAAAAACAATTTTATAAATTGTATTTAAGGTATCTTTTAGTATCTGAAAGAGTATTCTGAGGAATTACCCTATACTAATACTTTAATCAGTGTAGCTTTCAGTAAGGACAATCTACTAAATTTCCTCACTCTTCCTATAAGGAAATACCTCCTCATCTCCCAAGTCCTTCTCTCACTGACAAGTGGTATTTCTGAATCAAATTTATTTAGAATGCCTCATGCAAGCATTTTCACACAAATTTAAATCATTTAGCTTTCTTTATTGGCCTTAAGTCTTGTAATGGAATTTATTAAAATTTCGTTGCCCAAGTGTAAAATGAATACCGATGAGTCCATAGTGATATAAGTAAATGATTAAATAAATTAATAAATGGGAGAGAAGAGACAAATTTCCCGAGCAGAAGAATCCCAAATAATTTCATAGCCACATCACCCTCAAGCAGAGGGAGCATAACTCCCCTCTCCTTAAGTGTGTGCTGTAGCTAGTGCCTTCCTTCCAAAGTCTGAAGTATGGAAAAGAGTAACTTTACAGTGGAGAAACTCCACAAACACTATCTCAGCTAGGTGGTCAAGGCTGACATCAACAAGTATAAGTCATGTTAATAGTATGTAGACTTGATGGGATGATATGATGTGATGGAAATGGCACTTCACCTCTGTAGTCTTCCTTCCAATAACCGGTAACCCCAGTCTTATCATTAGGAAAATACCAGACAAATTCCAGTAGTGAAGCATCCTACCAAACACCTGACCAGTACTCCTCAAAACTGTCAAGGTTATCAAAAATAAGGAATATCTGGGATACTGCCACAGCCAAGAAAAGCCTAAAGAGACACGGCAACTAAATGTACTATGGTATCCTGGTTGGGCTCCTGGTGCAGAAAAACGGCATCAAGTAAAAACTAAGGAAATCTAAATAAACTATGAACTTTAGTTAATAATAATGGGTCAGTATTAGTTCATTAATTATTATAACAAATGTATCATACTAATGTAAGATATTAATACTAGGGGAAACTGAGTGTGGGATATATGGGAACTCTCTGTACTATCTCCTTAAAATTTCTCTAAATCTAAGGCTGTTCTAAAAAATAAAGTCTTTTAAAAAGAAAATATATTTAGCTGCTTATGTATCATTGTATTTGGACCACAGTTGTAGTGCATTTTTACAAGGAAAAATGACATTGCCAAAATAGTTCACTTCTTCCCCCATCTCAAAAACAATCAGAATTATTGTATTTCATGTAGAGTTATAGTAATAAATTTAATCAATACAAAACAATATTTAAAATATTAGTTCAGTGTTGTTGCAGGAAACAAGCAAATTCATTTTTTCCCTGATGGCCAAATCCTTGTTTAAATCAACTAGATGAAACCATCTTTTCCAATGATTTCTAATTCCAAACAACCCTTATGGATGACCCCAGTTGGCTGTTTTAATTTCTCTTCTAGGACATTCAGATGTACGTTTAAAAAAAAAAAAAGACTCATCTGTCTTAAGAAGAAAATAAAACTCTGGGACCAAAGACTTCTCTAATCCAGCTCAGAGGTGAAGTTGTGGGAGTTGAGGCTCCAGGGAAGGAAATGGAGTACAGTTTTTTAAACTGGATGCCAAAGACTCCAAATATGCTGATGATACCTAGGCTAATGCGTTAAATAATGTGAGTTTTCCTGTAAGGATGTTTCCTGAATTTGTTAAGCGCCCCGCTCGGGATGATGGTGCCCCTGTCGTTTTTAGCAAGTCACGTGTGCACCACTCTCAGCTGGCTAGAAGCCCATGTGAAGATTCAACATCTGAATGCTAGCCAGTCTCCATTATTTGAATTTTTGGCTCATCCAGGAAGCACTTATCATCATTTCACAAGCAGGAGAGAAGTTTTTATCCTTCCTCTTCTATGCAGCACTTTTCTGCTTTCTAGAGCACTTGTATATTTTAAGTTTCTGTAGTTCAGCAAGTCTGCCAGTTTGCCTAGAGCGTCCTTCTCCATTAGATATCTGGTCCCTTCTCTATGGGACTTCCTGAACAAATTCCAATCTGTGGCAAGCCTTTGGCTTCTGGAAATCACGGTTTTTTACATAATGCTTAAAAATGAAAGGTGACCCTTTCAGAAATGTCTCCCCCTTACAAAAAAAATGACCTATGTGAAAATCTACTGAAAATTTTTTTGGCCACTTCTTATAAAACTTTCCAGCTGAGAGAGACATGGGAGAGATGAGTTACAACTTACAGCCAGATAGGCGAGGGAAGAGAAAGCAAATCCCTAACTTCTCCGTGAAGGAGACTTAGACTCTGTACTTTTTGCTATGGAGAAAGACAGTCCCAGTCTGAGGTCCAGGCAGCCTTGACATTTCCTTCTCTGGGG